GGACCCCCTTCTGGACCCCTCCTGGACCCCCCTCTGGACCCCCTAATTAGATTAAGAAAGGATGAAAACAATAAATACCTGGTGCGACTTAAGAGGTCGTCATCAAAGTGGCATTTCATGCTACATACATTTGCCTGAATCTTCAAAAAGTGCTTCTAGAAATGTTAATTCTCCCGTATGCTATGGTGGGTGCCATTTTGTTTGTAAGTTAGAGTGGGGACCTTGGCACAAGACTACAAAACTTCCGGTGTTTTCTCCGATCAGCCGTGGACGTATACAAAACATGAACAGGGGTCCATGGACCACCCCTATGGACCCAGTCCATGGACCACCCTTAATTTTTGAAAAGGAGATCACCCCTGTTAATATGAAAATTTACCGGAGGTCAGGGTATGAAAAACACAGACTCGTATTTATCGCGCCCCCATAAATGGGAAGACCATTGACTCGTTTTGAGATACAGAAGATCGAGTCCATTTCTACCCACAATATTTTCATTCCAACACTTCCAAATTGCAATTTGATCAGGAAGACACCCCTACCCCGCTTATTATACTCTATCGTGCACAAAAATAAGCCGATTTATTTTATTAGCAAAGTTTACCCTACGAACACAAATTTGTAATCAAGGTATATTGATGGAAAAGTTTAACGGATAGCTTGTGATCTTAATGAGAGAGCACAGAATCATTAGTTTCCGCATTAAACGAAGCGTAACCTTGGAGGGGGTACGTTGCCGGATAACAAAAACTCGCTCCAGCCCCTTCGCGCTTCCTCATCCAAGATGGCAGCTGCCTTGAACCGATCCAAAGTCAGGTGAGTATTTATTGCTCGTACCCACAAAGTACGCCTGTATTGCGAGCTCTGTACAGTCGCAAGACTTTGTTGTACTACCCCGCGTAAAAGGAAGTCCTTTTACTTAAACAGATATGAATGTATTTGCAAAGGAACATACAAAATTTTAAAACACCTTCCTCCATGTTTCCAACGTGTACGACAAAACTCAGTTCCAGTGGGGTGGTCCATAGGGGTGGTCCATGGACCGGGTCCATAGGGGTGGTCCATGGACCCCGGTCCATGTTTTGTATACGTCCGATCGGCCGGTTGAGTCCTGGTGTACCGGTTAACGAAAATGTGTCCTGGTGTGCCCGTTAACCAAAATATGTCTTGGCGTGCTGGTTATCGAAAATTGCGTGACATCGGCCGATCGCGGAATGATAGCGTGACAGCTAGTTGGTTTCATGAATAATAAATGCTTGAAGGGTTAATTGGGCCAGTCGGGTCATTTGGGCCAGCGGGGTCATTTGGGTCATTTAGGCCAGTTGGGTCATTTGGGCCAATTGGGTCATTTGGGCCGGTTGGGTCATTTGGGCCGGTTGGGTCATTTAGGCCAGTTGGGTCATTTGGGCCAATTGGGTCATTTGGGCCGGTTGGGTCATTTGGGCCGGTTGGGTCATTTAGGCCAGTTGGGTCATTTGGGCCAATTGGGTCATTTGGGCCGGTTGGGTCATTTGGGCCGGTTGGGTCATTT